CGAGTTTCGGGACTCGACAGCGTCCTTCCTGTTACCCTTGAGGGCCACTGGATGTTCTAGGGAGAGAACTCAGAAACCATTAATATCGTGAACTGTGCCTCCAAATGAAGGGTACTGCAGCAGTCGCATTCAAATCGTTACGTAATCTGTGCCGCGCAGTGCGGAATACGGATGTGGCAAGCGCGAAGGAAACTGGAGGGTCAGCGTGATTCGCTCGTTTCCCAACAAAGGTGGTAGGCATAATAGGTTAAGAAGTCGAATGCGCTTGCAGAAGGTTCCTAAGTATCGGAAAATGGAAGCTAGAAAATGATAGAAGGTGAAGGAATGTGAGGGACTCCAGCATGTGTTGCTGTGGGAGAAACTGACGTTTCAGAGAAACTTGAAGCTTCCAATAACTGGAACAAAAGTGTCCGTTAAGGAGCCAAGGTGTTATATTTGTCTGCGCAATGCATAAGTGAGCAATGATTTTTGGAAGGCGATGGGAATAGAAACTTACAGCTGTTGAGATGGGGAGCTGAGGTCGAATGTTTTGGAACCGTAAAAGTTATTTTTTGAAATTGCAGAAGCGTCGTCTTCAATCATTTTTTTCTCAGATGAAAAATGCTATGATAGTTGGCTATGATTTGTACCACGATTCTACTCTCCATGGAAAGACCATTGGCGCATGTGTGTCAACGACGGATCAGGATTACACTCAATTTTATTCTCAGACTCGTCCACATGAGAACCCTACGGAACTCGGAAACAATCTTGGTCATTTTATCAAAAGTGAGTGCTTTTTCATTGCATACAAGTGAACTTTGACATACGGCTCACTTTAAGTGTTCAAACTGCTGTAAGGATTGGCAACTCGTTGTGTTGTCCCACGTGTTGGAGCGTTTGAATAACCGGGCTCATACCGAGACTTTCTTTGTGAAAGCAGGTCAAAATGCTTGCTTTACTCCGGCTATCCCTCTTCTCAATGGAAATGATGTTCGCGCAGTTGTTAATATTTGTCAGTTTGTTACACACTCTAGAGTTCGCTATCATTCGCCACAATCGTCCTGCCGCTCTCACAATACAGTAAAATGTTGTATTAAAGTTCTGCATCAGTAATAAGGATCGTAGGCGTGTCTTTGTTGTTTGAAATTGGGGTGGAGTTATAACACCTAATCAAACACCTGTAAGGTGTTGAGCTAGTTGTAATGGAAGAAGTGACATACCAATTCATGTTTTCTTCTTACAGGGGGAGTTTTCTTGGTCACAGTGACATTCGTTCTGAAGTTTATATCGCTGCCTGTGTTTTCGAATGCTGGCTTCAAATCTAAATTTGAGAATTGGTGTGTTATTCCGGGTGGCACGATATCTCAGGAACCATACGCGGTTCTCTTACGGCAACCCAACACGTCGAGTCTCTTTGAGAGATACCGCATGGAGCAGCAGCAGAGTGATTGGTGAACCCACAAACGAGGTCAGCATCTTCATTGCATAGGCATGCTTTGCACTCACAATGTATGTTAAACTCTTCCAAGCACTTTCCGCCGGCTTACATTGACTACGAAGGTTTATGGCTCACTCCTAGGAACATCAGAAACGGCCTCCCAGGAAAAAGTGTTCAGCCCTTCTTTGATCCCAAGAGGGATTGGCTTCCATGTTGTGCGTTCGAAGAAGAGCAGAGTCTGTTTGCTCTCGTCACGTCTCAGAAACGAATATTCTCGACAAGTGAAAGCGACACGCCGTTACAATACATTAATAGAATCGTTGCGTTGTGGCTGCATTACTCCCATACTATGAGATGCCGTTTTCATCATCCCGCATAACCTCGTTCCGTGGAGGTCCAGGATACAGAACCCCCAACCTCTGTTTTACCGACTCAGGCTCCACTATGTCTCGTGAAGGAGTCTCATCGTATTAAGCGATTGATCCAGGGATTACACTTCTGGTAACGACTTGACGCCGACTGACAAGGAAGTGAGAGTGCTCAACATTCCGCCTGGGTTAACCTCCCAAATTCAACCTCACGATGTATATATTTTCTTGCAGTTCGAAGCCATGTATAAGTTCATTGTCTCATTCGTAATTTCTCATGATCTGGAGTTTCACGTTAGCAACCGCAACTCCATGATTCGCCTCATCTCCCCAGTGTATTTCTTGTTTCAAAGGGTTCCTTTCTCATTCATGGTTTGCACCAGACTACCTGGATTCAGACCTGGGAAAATTCGAAACTCCTGTTCAATACTGTTTCTCATCTCATATATGTAGACGGGAGCTGTAAGAGTGATGGGTGTGATGAACTATTTTCATGCGTTGCTCTCATTGTTGAATTTCGTGACCACACCTTAAGTGCCTGGAGCAAAATGGTTCTATGTGCACCCTTATTCAGTCTATGGAGGCTACAAAAAGTTTTACTCGTATTATCATTCCTGGTGCTCCGTAAATATGAAGGAGGTCTGTAAGTGGTCTACATGATACGTAAATGTCTTTTGTAAGCGTTTAGGACATTTTTATAAAAAAGCAAAACAAGCAAGTGCATCAAAGTTCTGAACCACCGTGTCGCGCCTACCAGTCCATTGTTCTCCCAACTCGGCCATCGCTGCATGTTCGGAACTGCTCGGGTGCGTATAATAGCAGCACTCGGGAAAAAAAGGCCCCAAACATTGTTTCCAGAATTGTTTCGCAGATTTGGAGCCTAGATTTGAAGTCAGCGTTTGAAAATAAATACGCCGGTATACATCTCATCTTGAATGGCCACAGCGACCTAGTATCCTTCCCTTGTAAGTATTCGAGAAATAGACATTGTTGCTTGCGTATTGTTAGCAATCACTTCAGCCACCACATATTAGCCCACTGTGGCCCGCTTAACTTTCGAGCGATCTTGTTGAAGTTCGCTCGCCCAATCAGTGATGCAGGATTTTTTTAGTCAAAGAATCAGTCAATAGCATATATCTTTACATTCAAACCTGATACCCACTGTTTGTGAATAATGGGATGATTATATGGCCGAGCCATTTTGCCGATCCTGAATCCGAGTCACGGTTCATACCGCGGGAACTCCTCTAGACACTTCTTCTTCACCTCTCCAACTGTTAACTAAAATCTCTAAAGTCAAACATAGGAAAGAAGATTCACCAAAAAATGGTAGATGTTCGTGTGGTGAGTGTCTTGATAAGTGCGAATTAAGGCAATGTTAGTCAAGAAGCTAATTCATTTTTTAAAGAACTCCACTGTTACCTCCACTGCTTCCCTCTATGTACGACCACGAAGCTTTTTGATGATCGTGAAGGTCTCGGAGCGAAACTTGAGGTTACTTTCAACAAGGCAGAAGTTAAACGTTGTCCAAGACCTTGGGCAGCTTGGGCGAATTACTTGTCGCTCAAGTTGCCCAAGATCTTGGACAACGAGTTGGCAATAAGAGCTGATGTTTCCATTTGTTGCGTTCATAGTACCGATGTTGGCGTTATCGCGGACGCTCTATCGAAGTCTCTTAAAGGCACAGTTCACGAGGAAAAGGTTTCTGAGATTTTCCTATAGTGTGAAATCGAGGCTCCCCCTTACACCATACCTGCCGTTATAAGATCGAAAAACGTCATGGATAGGGCTTAATAAGGGGCCCGAGATTATATCATGTGAATGTCACACCCATAGTGAACGAGTTTCAAGGGTTTTGTAAAGGCTGCACTATCTCAAGAGACTCTCGTGTAGGAAGTTCAAACAGCTCGCCATAACCCATGGCTACATTGAAAGGCAGTTTCGGACAATTTCGGCTTGATGTAATCATCTCTTTGAGTAAGGGAAGCAAGTTAGATCTCGTCCAAACACCCCTTACATGCCACTACCGTCACAGTGATTTCGTCTAAGCTCCACTTCCACTACTTTTAAGAAGTTTAAAGTGGGCAGATTTTCTCGCTTTCTTCGCCACCGATGTACTCCTTTATATCGACGCTTCCACTTTTCTACCTAAAAAGGGTACCTTAAAATTATCGTGAGCTGTGCCTTTAAGATCATCGCTCGGCTTTGGCTTTACAGCTTTAAACACATTGAAATGATCAGTCATGCGTAAGAGATTGAATCTCACTAATAGTCATGTGTGTTTCGTACTCGATCGAAATTTTAAACTCCAGCAACTGATCTTAAACAATTTCCTAGCGAATGTTAACGAAAAAATGAATATTAAGTTGCGGAAGGAGCGGGTTAAGCAGGCACTTCAGTCGCTAAGGGGTATAGTTCACGATGGGCATGGATTACGAGATTCCCCTTAGGACGAATGTGGTCCCAAATGATAGCACATAGGATGCTGTCGGGTCGAAAAACGGCCTAAATATTTTGTAGTGTTGGCTCCCTTCACACACCGAAAAGTGGCTTTACTCTGAAGGCCCTATATTTTCAAATGTGCACCATCCTCAATGGAGCACATATGAAAATACAGCAGGTAACTAGAGAGCACATAATTTCCAAATAGCAGTGGAAAACAACGACAACAATAGAATAACGATGTAAGAAGATTAGTAGAGAATAATGGTGGTGCAAAATGTGAAAGTTGCAGTAGGGCAAAGTTTTGTTTGCATGTAATCCCGACATTGCAAGGCAATTTCTTTATTTTTGCTAGCTATGGCCTGTTACGCGGCGCCACTGGACCTCGATCTAGTTTCGGACAACCACCTATAGTGACTACCTTTTCAAAATCTCTAATTTTTCGAAATCCGCACATTCTCGCGTTGTCTTCGCCACCTTTGCAATGTTCTGCATCATTACTTCTGTTATTCGATTCTAACTAGATACCTCGAAACTGTTATGAACTGTGGTTTGAAAAAAATTTATACCTGGGTTGAGTCATGGAAGTTGCGGCTCGTCAGAATAGGGAAGGGAGATAAATTTTCTCTACTCACTTTCAAGGGTACTTTCATAGAGAAATGGTCCGTATCATTCTGATTCCTTCATTTTTGCTTTCATCACGCCCATCTCTACATTCCTTCTGGCCCTATTCTCGAAGCCAACCATCCTTACTCCCGAGATAACGTTCGATGATCGGCGATGGCGTCGGTATCATAAATGCAATCAGTGGATTCACGGATGCGAAGAACCTGGAAGAACCGGCGTGCACTACACTCAAAGTCTCCTCTCGAGATTTACGGATGCGAAGAAGTGTGGGAAACGGCGTGCACTGCACTCAAAGTCTTCACTCGAAAGTATGAACATTTTATACGTTATCACGCAGCGCAGTAAGTAGACGCCACTACGGATGGAAAATGAATAGAAATAGGTCATGTTCGTTGCAGTGATTCTTACAAGCGTGTCAGAAGTGAGCTTCGTTTCCAAGTGATCGATTTGGGTGATAAGAACTGATTCCGGGGTTAAGAGTAATTGTCGTTCCTTATCTGATGACGAACGGCTGTGAAGCATCACTAAGTAGTGATAAATTAGGTTGTAAAGAAAGTTCTGGCCGTTCCCACTCACGCGCCATATGAATTCAAATTTTGGCGGTTGTCCATTCAGACTAATCGACATATTGTGTTCCTTAGATAAGTCATTAGTTGCTCTTTTTGTAATAGCGCTTTCCCCAAAGTCTGTAAAGTTTTGGAATCCTTAGGAGGTTTTTTTGGCAGAATGGATAAGACTGCTTTTTGAACGGTTTTACTTAACGAGTTCAAAGTTGGTCGAACTGCGAAGGATGCAGCCACAAACATCAAGGTTGTATGGGGAGAAGGTACTGCATCGGAGCGAACGGTTCGTCGCTGGTTCCAGAAGTCTAGAAGTTGAGACGGGTCACTGGAAGACGAAGAACGAGTTGGTCGACCATCGTTAGTTGATCAGGATGTTTTGCTAAGAGCAGTCGAAGAAGATCGACGTCAACCTCTGAGAGAGATTGAGAAGAAGATGGGTGTCTCCCACAAAGTCGTCACTGCCCACCTCAAGCTGCTTGAAATGGTGAAAAAGCTTAACAACTGGGTGCCCCACGATTTCACGGAGCAGCAACGACTGAATCGCTCGGAGGTTTCATTGAGAAGAAATGATGTTGAGACTTTTCTCCATCGTATTGTAACGTGTGATGAGAAATGGATCCTGTACGATAACAGGAAGCGTTCTGCTCAGTGGGTGGGTGTGGATGAGCCTCCGAAAAAATTCCCAAACCAAGTTTACACGTCACGAAGACATTGATCACATCACGGATTAATCCACTACTGCGTTTCTTCCTCCAGGTCAAACTATCACCGCACAGCCATATTGTGATCATATTCGCAAGTACACGAAACTGGGGCAGATGCAGCCAGCACTAATCAGTCGCCACGGTCTACAGCTCTTACACGACAATGCGCAACCGCAAGTGTCACGAATTGTCTTACAGAAGTTGAACGAGCTGCGAATCGAAGCTCTCCCTCATTCACCCTACTCACCAGACCTGTCACCAGCTGACTACCATTTACTCTAACATCTGTTCAGCTTGGAGGAACGAGTATTCAAAAATCAGGGCGACGCTGCATCTGCCTTCCTCGAGTTTTTGGAATCCAGATCTCCGGACTTTTGTGAGAATGGATTAGACAGACGTATCACGTTGGCCAACATGTGTAGAATTGAAAGGGGCTTACTTTGAATAAAAATGTTCACTTTGAGATGAGTTATAACTTTTTGAAAAATAGCTAACGAAACAGCCAGGACTTTCCTTACAACCTTGTAATCGTCATCCATTGATCAGACACCAATCCGCACGACAGTTTCAATGCAATTCCCTTCCCGCAACTTAAACTCAATAATTTTCCGAAGGGCAGGTGTTTATATAATATGAACTTGATACATAAAGCGGGAACTTTGTGTGTCTCTTTGTATGTCCGTTTGTGCGTCCTTCCGAAAGTCACGTAGGCTCGATGAAGAGTGTGAATATCACGTGAGCGCGGTGAAGAAACAGTTATGGGATGGGAAGCCAACCGATATTGTTTATATTGGTCCTCTAACAATCCTAGGTAAGTGTTAGTGGGTATGTGGCGTAGCCCAACTGGTACTATATATTGCACATCCACTAAAGTTTGTGCAGCGATTCGATGATGCCTTGAAATTTTGCAAGCAAGCGCCTTAAGTATACTGATAATTGCAGAGGCGCTACGAAAGTATTATGTTGCCAATAATCACTCACTTCCGGAAAAAGTTTTTCTATATCGCGACGGTGTCGGCGACGGACAAATACATTACGTGAAAGATCAAGAGGTGAGGATTAATTTTTCTCTGAAATTTGTCAATGAAAGTTGTAATATAGCTTCACTTTCAGGTGACTCTCGTACAGAAAGCTTGTGAAGAAGTAGTGTTGAAGGAAAATGCAAAGCAACCAATTAAATTGGCATTTATTATAGTAACAAAAAAAGTGAATATGAGAATATTCAAAGGCGCGCCTGATTCCAAGTTGTCCAATCCGGACCCAGGGACTGTTGTCGATACTGTCGTCACGCGTCCCGAGAGATATGACTTCTACCTAGTGCCTCAATTTGTAAACCAGGGGACTGTCACACCTGTCTGTTACAATGTTATATTCGATAATACAGGCTTGAAACCCGATCACCATCAAAAGGCGAGGCTTTTATATGCTTTTGATTTGTGATTGAAGGAGCAATGATTTCTTTCAGCTGGCGTTCAAACTATGCCACTTGTACTATAATTGGCAGGGAACAGTGCGCGTACCCGCACCTTGCCAATATGCTCACAAGCTGGCATTCATGGTAGCGCAGTCGATTCACAGGGAGGTTAATGAGGAGCTGCGTAGCAAATTGTTCTTCTTATAGGTGAAAATATTGCATTAGGTTGTCTCGAAGGCTCCCGCGGATTTTTGAGTCATCTTCGAGTAAAAATTTTAGAAAAAACATCTTTCATCAGAAGATATATCCTCCTTTCTGTACAGTAATGGTTTGCCATCTTCTCCTGGTTTTCATTATCCCTTTCTCATCTGAATCTGAACTAATGGTTGCCACCGAAGCTCTGGCAAATTTTCTCGAGTGGTCAAAATGCGGTTCGTAGTTATCCTCTTGGAAGACAACGCCCTTACGATTGGCCAGTTCTGGACACATCTGGTCTATCGCTGCCTTGAAGTTGTTTAGCTGACTTCCATCCTCCTCCCTCCCACATGGAGGCGCGGTCCATCACATTACGCTCGCTCGGTTCGTGAGGTACCTAAACATCAATACGCTTAAAAAAAACCAAGTTCCAGCAATTGGACACGAATAGTTAGTGTCGAAAAACTAAGTTTTTCTCCTAGTTCACGAGTAGTGCTGTGCCGACTCTTATCGATTCACATTTTGATGGTCGTTCTTAACCGGTGATAGCCTCCCTGAGCGTTGTCGATCTTCGAGGGTGTACTCACCTTGTTGAATTTCGTAAACCATTCATGCACTGTACATCCACCTATAGCGTTAGCTCCGAAAACAACACAACGTTATCTCGCGGCTCGATGCCTATTCTTGCCCTTGCGGTAGAAGCATGCGGTAGAAGTACCGGTAGTGCACGCGATGGTCCTCAATTTCCACACGAGTCCTTTGAAGACAGATTTTGAGGAACGTTAGTAGAACCTAAGCGGTAATATAAGGGAAGACTGACTCTTTTCGGAAATGTATAATTTTATATTACGTCCGTGATCTTTGAAAAGCAGTTGATAAGCTGAAAGCATTGAGACACGGCGGGAACTTTCCGGACAACCCAGTAAAATCACCCTCTCACTTGACTGGTCACTCCATATTTCACGTAACTCTATAATAATTAACGTAAACTTCGTGAGCATTAATACTTGAATAACATATTTGTTGAGTAATTGTTCGTCACCGGCATTTAGCGAACTGTTTTTTTCCTTCTGCTTCCGTTATGATACTTTTGGAAAGTGAATTGTGATGTCCATCCTTTTTTACTCCTTTTTAAGAGAATCCTTTTACGTTCCACATTCCTTACTACTCCAGAATGTGTTCACTAACTGTTGATTGTTGTTTCCGTTAAACATTACTTTTAATCTCCACATGTTTCTAATCCATAATCTGTAACGCTAATATTTGAGAGTTGCAGTTGTCTCACAAACCTAGCAAAATTATACTCTATGTCGTGAATTCCTTTTAAACTGGCTTACATCGGAGTAAGGAGGGTGAACTGTTAAGGCCCAACCCTGGGAATACCTTTTGCTCAGTCCCTGCTGCTTTTGTTAGAATAACATGAGTTTGACTCAGTATTTGATATGCCGGTTTACAGGCAAGGACTGTCGAACGTGATCATTGCCCTTCTCTTTTTGTCGAAATTTTTGCCCTTCTGGATTGTATTGTTCCTTTGGCAATGTTTTGTATAACAAATGTATAATAGTATTCGAAGGAAAGCATATGTTGCTCTGCCAATTCTATATTGAGTTGCGACTATCATTTTAGAAAAATAATACTTTGATTTTCCAATCAGCTGAAATGCATAACCATGTGAATTGTAACCTATCGCTCAACTTCGGCGATGATGGCCCAACCTTTTTCCGTAGGGCTGCATTGAAAGATAAAGGGTTGAGTATTTGATGTTAAACTATCTCGTCTTCAGGGTGCGCCCACGCCTTTGACGTGCATTCAAAGTCGTAGAGGCATTATCAGTGCATAGAGGGGTAAATAATGACCTGCTCTTGCAGGATCATGTACAAGTTGGTGCTATTATTCTCCCAAACAAGTCTAGTACTGATTAAAATATCCCGTTACGATGAAAGGCCTTGCTAGGCGAATATCGACCCCGAATTCGATCCCCAGGCCATGCGTGTGGTGGTGCGCCACTCCCCTCTAGGCCATTTTCGCCTCAGGCGTGCAATACCTTTCTAGAGAAAAAATGAGCTAAAACGAAGGGTATCTAGGTATAAATCGCCAGTTCTCTGAGTGACAATATCCTGTATTAGACGGGCACGATAACTCGTGACACAAAAAGAGGGGAAAGCTTCAAAAGAGAACATCGAAATGTTCGGCTTACGACGGACTTTCTTCTATACAACAGAGTTAAGAGAATCGGCTAACCTGTCACTTTTATTTGGAACAAATGTTACTTTTCTAAACGCAAAGTTTGACACTTTCTATGTGTTTCGACGGCGAAAGGTAAGAGCGCAGCACAGGGGGGTGGGGGCTACCGACGGCCTAGGCGTGTGCATACCGTCACCCCGCTGCGTCTCTTCCTTCTTCACGCCCAGCCGGCTCGACCGCAGAGAGGGCTACAATATCGAAGATCCGGCGATAGCGCTGTTTCACGTAACTAACATAGCGGTACTCAACCAAGGGGGTCCTAGACGCAACCGTATTTGGAGAAGCAGAATGAACGCATGCATCAAGGATTTGAGCCTTGATGTCATACCTAACAGACCAGCATCTCACAGACAGAGCTTCATCAGCTGAGACTGATTCAGCTGTGCAGCGGTGGCTCAGCCAAGACTTTGCTCGCTTCGGTATTTCGGCACTGTGGTGTAGCAAGGGAAGGAACTGTTTCCTTAATTTTGTTCCCAGAATCGTTGAACGGATTTGTAGAACAGATTTGAGATCAGCGTTCGAAACCATTTACGGCGGTACATATTTCATCTCAAAACGACATTGCGAGCAAATACCCTTTTGTTGTTAAAAATGGGGACACAGAGAAAAAGAAAGCTTATCTCTTGAAGTAACTTCCACGTTCGGTCTTCTTGAAACCTAGGCATATTGTGCAATGTTTTCACTATGTATATGTTGTCCGTTCAAAAATACGGGGATTGCACACAAGGGACAGTGTATAAACATCAGTGCTCATCCTGTGACGGAATATATATTGGTGAGAGGGAAGGATGTTAGGCACACGTGTCAAAGAACATCTAGCAGGTGAAAGGTGCGGGAGCCTTTATCACGCCACATGGGAAGCATTGAGTAGAAGTACGATAAGGCAATGATTTTGATATTAGATGCAAAATCCTAGCCTACGAGAATGGGATCGGAGGTGCTAGAAAGATTTTGGAAGCGTTTCACATCCACGACGGAAATCCCGAGCTGAACAACCGAAATGAGTGCATTGCCATAACAAGCGAATTTCTGTCGTTCATTTCTTTTTGTGGGCTTTGAGAACACCGCGCAACTCTTACCCAACGACCGTCATTGGTCCCTGTTTATCCACGAAATTGAGTCGACAACAGCGTTGGTGGAACTGCAGAGGGTTGGTTTCTCGGTTGGGATATTTTAGTTTCAAAGTTTCTGGGAGCTGCTGCAAGTGGGCTAACGCGTTTGGGCGCTTGGTCGGGTAAACCACAGTTCAGGAGCTCAGAACTGCTTTCAGGTCCTGAAGACGACGGATTTGTCGAAATGTCGACCAAGAAAGCGGTTTATGTCTGACAAAATTGTACGGCAAAACAGTGAAAAACTTAACTCTTGACTTCAAAAAATGAAAAGTGACCCGCCTAGCATAGAAGATCTGGAAGCGCTGCTGCAGTGGTGACGGAGCTGGAAGATATCGTACCTGTGAATGTCTAAAGACTTCGTGATCCAAAACTAACGGTTGAGGCGGCATCTGGGCAAGACGACCCTGAAGTGATGCGGGTCGTTGAAGAATTCTCGGCGTGAGGGTTGAGACAGAGTCGTGGGAGGTATCACGATGTCTTTTTCGCTTCCTCGAACAAAGTTAACTTTATGAAGGCCGACGGCTGATGCACTAACGAACTGCGTCAGAGCTCAGAATTGTTTCTTATAGAGGACTAGAATGGCGATTGATGCCGGGTTAATAAAGAGACAGACAACAACGATCTATGCAAGCTTTCAACTTTGGCTTCCTTTTTGATCGAATCGGTGGCTGACTTGGTTGATGTTCCGGGAACATTAACGGAAGAACGGCGTTGTTCTGTTCGTGAACCCATTGCGTACCGTGGGGTTTCCGCGCTGGCTGGTGCGGGTGCCCGGCGGCTCTTTCGTAATCGAAGCGGCGTGTCTCACGGTGTGCAGCTCGCGGCCACAGAGCAGTTTTTTAGCAGCAAATCGCAAAGTATGTTCCGTTCGAACTTAATTTTGAACTCTAGAATAATTTTGCACACGAAACTCCCTTTTAAACAAAAACTACTTTAGTAGACAGCCATGGATGAGTTGAATCAATCATTTGAAGATCTGCTTATCGAAAGTGGTGACGAATTCGATGAAAGAGGGGATGTCTTAGACGACATGGCTGTGAATGTTGTGGAGTCAAGTGAGGATTCGGATTGGAATTCTAGTGATGAACAGTCGGATTCGAGCGATGAAGGAATTCAATGGTTTTCAAGCATTCGAAGGCGAGATCAATTCCGCTTTCAAGAGTTTGAAGGGGTGCTGGTTAGAGACGCACTAGGCTGTCAGCATCCCATCCGAATTTTCCATAGATGTTTCACAGACGAAATTGTCGAGTTGATCACAAGAGAAACGAATAGATACGGACTCTCAAAGTATTCTGATTGGACGGATATTGACGAAGAAGGACTATTCACGTTTCTTGCTATCTGCTTCCAAATGGGGCTGGAGATTAGATCGAATTGGAGGGATTATTGGTCCACGAGGAAGGTGTTTAGTGGAACATCCGCGGTGAAGCTTATTTCTAGAAATACTGAACGCCTTCCATTTCGCCGACAATGACGCTTCTGACAAGTCTAACAGACTACAAAATCCAACCGATTCTGGACGAGACATTTGCCGCTGTTTATAGCCCGAGCAAGAATGTACGTATTGATGAGAGCATAATCCCATTCCAAGGTCGAGTCATATTCCTGCAGTATATTCAAGGCAAACGCCACACATTCGGGATTAAGGTTTATAAATTGGGTTGTTCTGGTGGCAATACTTGTAAGTTCATCGTCTACGCTAGACAACAACGCTATAAAACTTGCCAATCTTCACGACAGGCGGTTCTGGATTTGGTTACCATACTTGAACGAAGGCGGGACAGTCACAGCAGACAACTTTTACACCTCTACTGCGCTTGCTGAATTGCTGATAGAGCAAAAGACTAATTACGTCGGAACTCTAAGGGAAAACCGGCTTGGAATACCTGTAGATATCAAGAACGCGCGGCTCAGTACAGGAGAGGTTGGGGCTAGAACAATAGAAGCGTAACTGTGCTAAAATGGAAGCACAAGAGGGAAATATATATGTTATCGACGTGCCACGATGCGTCCAAAGGTCAATCCAATAATCCAGGTATGGTAGAAGACTAATTTGGCAAAGGGATCCGTTGACCTATCTGACCAAATGTGTCCACACACCCCTTTTGTTAGAAAAACGACGAAGTGACTCATGCCTTTTCTTCCACCTCAAACTCAACTAAGGTGGTCAACGCCTGGCTGTATTTTGCGTAGCGAAAGAAAGAATTTCGAGCAAAGATTTCAAGTGCCGCATCATTGAGTCCATTCTGGAAGAATGGAGTAGTGCAGACCCTACAACGTAAAAGACCCAAACTTAAGTTACTGGACCAAAAAGACCTGACTTATTTGTTTCCAGTCATCTCACAAGAAATGCTCCGTTTGATTTTTGTGAATATTTACTAATATTATGACATTGTGTACGTAATATGTCGTAATGTGTTAAATGTAGACTAAAAGAAGATCGAAATCAAAGTACTGTGCAAAGAAGAATGGATAGTCCAAGAATTACTTCAGATCTAGCAGCCCCTCGTATATATGTCACTCTCTAGGGTCAGATATGTATACTCATCTTTTTGGAGCACGAAAAAGGTGAAACAGATAAAAGGGCCGAAAGAGTTGCGTGCTGCACCATCGAAGCACGAGGTACGCAATGGGGACAAAATCACTGCTGATGATGTGCAAAATGAAATCCACTGTAAAGTCATCGTACTCTCGCATTTCAAAAAATACCGGCTCTACAATGTCTGAGGAACTAGTTCAGGATTGCTTCTGTTTATAAAGCGTTTTTGCAAGCTATTATGTACTGTCCCGTGGAAACAACTGATTCAAGAGCATGCATATGTCGTCAAACAGCTTTCCACAGCTTTCCGCTGTTCTGGTGGCTCTTGGCAACTCGTTGGGTTGCTGGACTATGCGAGCCCTTTTGGCAGTCTTGTTGCCATATTTTTTGTGTATCGTCCTGATCATTCACTCGTGATTCTGCGGGATTCAACTGCATGCCTCGAATTCACTTGTTTGACCTACGCTGAGGGTTTCCTTTTGGTGGGAGCATTTTTATTGTGCTGAGTTTGTTGTGAACAAGTGGTTCATAGACGACCCAGAAGTCAGGAAACTCTTCATCCAGTGAATGCCGGCACACTTACTCTATTTGGTGCAATCGAGAGAGCAGTGAAAGGCGGCTGTCTGGATACTTCATTTTCACTACTTGAACTTGGAAGCCCCGTGTGGATATCATTTGTGGTCCGCCCCGCATGTGGTTCTGTTCTCCAGAGGGTTCGCTTAGTTTGCGTTTGAGTCTTTTCCGGTCGCTGATGGCTTCGGTTAGGCGTGTTTTCAACATTAAGTGAAGCTGCTGCAGCTGCTTGTCTGATCATGTCGTTGGACTGAATCTCTTACTCTATCTTCCCTTTTTCTTAGAGATGGATCTTTTTTATTTTTTCCTTCTTGCTTTTCGTATTGTCGTAACTTTCTTTCAATCGCCTGATTAGCGTTTGCACGCTTGCTTTTGCAACAATGATCTGTGATATACTTCATCATACCTATTGCTTGCATTGTTTTCTCATACTGCACCTCGGCAGATTTGCTACCTTCATTATTTTTCAATTTAGTTTCAGAATTTTAATATATTAAGCCGTATTGTGACCACTTTTAGTGCCGAATCTGTGCAGGCGTTATACAACTGTCTGTATCGCACCACTGCTGGTAGGTTATTTTCACCTCTGAGGGTGCTCAACTTCTGTGGGTTCCTTGTAATCACCTCTGTGGGTATCGAATCTCTCTGGTTCCAAATTTACCTTGTTTTGACCGAAGCAGCAAAACTGAATCGGTCATTCGGTGGAAGTGGTTTATTGTGCAAAAATAATGGTATAACACTTTACTGCGCTTATATAGTATGTGATTTACATGGCAGATATTACAGCATCCACATGATAATCGAACAAAAAGAATGCATGTGACGGGGTAAAAACGGAGAATTCTACCGAATGAGAATATGACTAGTAGGCAAACTATAGAAATAGAAAAATCAAAAAAAGTTGTGGTCTGCCACGACATATTGAAAGAAGAATTTCATCATGAGAATAGCCTTAAATGAAGGCGTATGCTGTTCCCATAGTACACAGAGGATGAGGTTCGTCGATTTCAGTGGGGAAGATGAAGGTTGGGACAGTGTCTGGTCCGGATAAGGTGCCAACAGAAACTTGTATAACGCTCGAAGAGTACGGAAATAGGTGACTCACCTGATTCCTAAAAACTGTGACAATCGAAGGAAGTATCACGGATATGTGGAGAAGTAGTTTTGTTTTTCTCATTTTCAAGAAGGCAGACGTGATGGGGTGTTTTGACTACCGAGGGATCAGGCTGAATGCACACACGATGAGACTTCGCGAGCTGCCGGTCGACTCAAGACTGAAAGGCTGCTTAGTGCGTGCCGGCGTGCCGAGGCAGTGCTGGGGGGGGNAAAAAAAAAACAAGATCAAAAATCAAACAACCAGGGGCTTGTGCAAATGGTTTTTGATCTTGTCTCTCTTTGTTTACAGCCCTTCGATGGGGCTGACCAACCGTCTGCCTCACTCCTCCCTCCTAGCACTGCCTCGGCACGCTGGCATGCCGGCGGACTATGAAAGCAGCCAAAGAAGTAATCCTGGTCTGACGAGAGCATGACAAAAAGGTCTACTACGGATGCCATCTCCAGTGCTGACCAAATAAGTATTACGAAAAGCGCGGACTCTGTTACCTAGCTTTCTTCGATCTGGAGAAAGCTTTGGAGCGAATCCCAATCTCTTGAGAAAGCTACGAGATTAGGGAGCTACGAGATTAGGGAGCTACGAGACCTAGTCCCCTGAGGGACATATACGGTAGATTCGAGACAAGTATCTTACGGTCTACACAACGGCCCTTTGTTACAGCTGGGGAACAGATTGTCATTTCCGAGCCCGTTTCTCTTCCTGCTCCCGGTGGACTTCTCACTGGCACCGCTTTGGAAGCGTAGAACAGGTGAGAACTCCATCACAATTGTGAAATGACAGGAAAAGTTGGGGAAGGGGACTCTGGCTGAACGTGAAAAAGACTACATTTCTATCTCCGCGGAGTGCATGCAGCGAATCGCACGCGCTTTTGGAAGAACCAGCAGAAGGATACAAGACTTTTGATACCTGAGGAGTAATCTGCCCGCTAATGGAAGTGTGAATCAATCTAAGAAGGCCCTATTAAACGGTACGTGGATAAATTGGAGTACCGCTGGTACTTCGACCGATGATGCCCCAGATTGCTGGAAAAAAGGTTTAACGAACAGTGATGAAGTTTACGATGCCCTGCGGCACCAGCGCACATATTCTTTGTCCTCAAACTCGGATACTGAACCGTTTAATAAGAACAAGGCAGACAAACGATAGTTACGATAAGTAATCAATGATAAACAACAATTGAGTGTGAGGCGCAGAGCGCGCGCAAGGATAACAATCAGAGAGGTTACGAATCCAAACTGGAAAGAGGCACAATAAGGCCCATAATGAGGCAAAACCGATGATAGTAAAGAAATGATGCCCAGAGCCTCCCTTTCCCCATTTTATTTGACTCGTTGCATTCCAAAAGATGATTTCCTTTGATAACGCACTACTCCTGTTTTGTTGTGAGACGCACATCGGGAATGTGAGCACGGCGCATCAGAGGCCAGTACGACCTACTTATCGGTGCAATGTACTGAGGTTGCGACAAATGGAACGGTGGAGTAGAGCTGATTCAGCCGATGCACCAGAAACTGTTCCTCTTGGGAACAAAATATTCTTAGCTCGGTTGCTAGCCTCTACCCTTTTTACGTAGTACGTTTGTAAACTGGGTGGCTACGTGCAACATTTATTCGTTGAGCACAAAAAGCACGGCGTACGTATTTACACCAACCTGATACGGGGAATGTTTCGGGCTATCAAAGGCCACATCGGTGGCAAACAACGTATGGGGTTATCAAAGATTAAAGGGGTGGCAAGTAGTGTAAAGGGTTCCACTAAGATGGCGATTTGTGGGCGAAATTTCGGCACCGTACTATTCATTAAGAAGGTGAGGCCAAGCGGCTCTCGTTAGTGTAAGGGAGTCCGGTCAAGGGAAGTACAAGCACGGGTTCGAGTCCCGTCCGAGGCGGAAGTTTTGCCCACAAATTGCCATCTTCGTGGAACTTTCGGATTACGTACTGCGCCAATATAGCAGCGGTTTACAAAATATTATGTCAAAACAAGTCATCCGGTTATTAAAAGTCAAAGGATCGCGCAGAGCGAGACAGAAAGTTACTACAGGGTCGAACACGCGATTTTATTTACCATCCAGCCTCAATCAATACTGTAATACCTAGTCAGGCCGTCGTCTAGTTGCGAATCGACCTTACCTTCTAACATCTACACCCCAACCCCTCTTTTTTTTGCTGTATTGCAAGATCAATCAAAACAGCAATTTTTGCAATATAAATTGCAATTCCAAAAGGGATGATTTAGGAGAGCAAAGCTTTGATCTAAAAAAGACTTGCGCAGACTCCATCGACCACCCCTAAAGCCCGCGCAAATCGAAATACCGACCACACAGAACGGCCATCAATCGACCAGAAGGATATCCTTCGACACAGGGAGCATCCTTTGAACTTTGAACCCTGGTCTCCATGGGGGTATAAAAGGACAGCCACCTCCCGGGCGGCGCTCATTTTTACGATTGTTATTGGTTTTTTCGACTTGTTTGTTATTCCTGTAACCTTGTTTAACACGCACTAGCTTACGCATAAGCATGTTGTTCGTGTTACGCGTTCTTATCTGTTCAATTAAATTGTTACTCGAAACGCTGTGAACCACCGCCTTTTGAGAAAG